TAATGTAATCCGAGACCATTTTCTGCAGAAAAGTATATGATACCACTTGTTTCTCAACAAGTCATTACGTCTCATCCAAATATCTTAATGGCGAAGAAAAACATTGCAGTAAAAGAGAAGTATGGATCATCTTTTACATGCTAAATAGTGAAAAAAATAAAGGTGTTCTAACCTTGATGAAACTTGTGTAACTACAACTATTGAAGAAAATAGTGATGGTGATTAAGATCCGATTCTAAATAATACTTATATTTTGTAGTTATATCTATACGTATGATTGTTTCTGTCAAATTGCGCTTCATTATATGGATATTTTATATGGAGTTAATTTTTTTAACTATGTTCCATCAATTCTTCTGTATTTTTTTTTATATATAATAGCTAAGTAATAAATGTACTTTTTTGGTAGGTGTCACTTTGGTTGGTATAAAACATTGGAAATGAGATGCAACTTTATAATTTAAGTCGATATAATCTAATACTAGTAATACCTACTAAAAGAAGGTTACATTGTCAAATAATTTGTGCAGTCAGTTGATTTTGTATTTGTATTGTATTCATTATTCACTTAATTATTAAATATTAACCATCGTCCATCGACCCATCAGTGTTAAAAAGTGAAAGATTCCAGACAAAAGTGTAATTTTCCAGTGTAATTTTTATAAAGAAGTAAAAAATAAGAATAGCGTGCCGATTACATTAAAAACGAGATTCTTATTTCTTACTTTGCTTAATTTTTTAGTTTGTGCACGAACTAGTTTTACAGTGAACCGAGAAAACAAAGAATTTACTATTTCTGAACGTGTCGATATGTTATTAGTGTATGGTGCAGCCGGAGAAAATGCGCTCGCGGCGACTAGGTTGTACAGGGAACGATGGCCACAACGTTACCTCCCATGTGCAAATACAATCCTACAGTGCGTTCAGCGTCTGTGTGATACGGGAAGTGTTATTCCTCGAGGAAAAGGACGAGGTCAGCGAGTGAACCTTAATGTTGAAGATGCAGTGTTGAAAAATCTTGACGAAGACCCCACAATTAGTACTCGACGACTCGCACAGCAAGTAGGAACCTCATCTCGTACCGTACATTACATCTTAAGGCGTCAGCTGTTGCACCCCTACCATCTGCAACCATTTCAACAGATTTTACCCCAGGATTGTGATCAACGAATGCGTTTTTGTAGATGGTTTCTACGGCAATGTGCCAATCAAGTAGACTGGGTTCGTCGGTGCCATGCCCGTATCCGTGCTAATGGGGACCAATTTCAACATTTTCTCTAGAAATGATAAGTTTTATTTCATTTTGTTCCATATTTTAATGGGGTTTGCTTAGTGTAGTGCATGCTGTTGGCAACTACAGATGCTTACGGATGTGGTTTTGTTTGCGAACTCTTGCAGTAACAACAATGCATTTAAGATAGTAATTACTATTAATTATTATAATAAGAAAATATCAGTATTTTTTAATATCTGTTTTTCTTAGTTTGTACGTAGTTTCAACTACGATTTGTTTACGCGGCTGGTCTACAGCACGTAACTCATCGTACAGCACAGAGAAAATATTTTGATCCATAGTTGAACTTTAATTTACGAAAAAAAAAACGCAAAAATAGAACTTTTTCGTATAAGACTTTTCTATTACAAATATCGTTAGGAAGTTGTAGTTTAGTTTTTATAGACTATACACGCCACACAAAAATGAACATAAACTGACGGTAAGAATATTCCGTGATAAAAAGGTGTGGATCGTGTTGGTGAATCAGACTATGGTTCGTGCCGCAAAAAAAAGTCAGCGTTAATTTTTTATAAGCAAAAAACAGGTGAAAAAACAGATTTTAATAATTTTTAATATAGAACTTTTGGATTTAAAACAATGTAATTTCTACAAGATATCGGTGTTAAAAAGCCCTTTAATTTGAATGGTCGCACGTCAAAATCGAATAAATAGTTATTGAGTTATTGCAAAAAAACCACTAAAATAAGCCATTTGTTAATTATTTAATAGCTTTAACAATTTGCAAAATATCAATTTCTACCATTGTGTAAACTAAGCGTTTCGAAGGGATAAAATTACGGTTCAAATTTGGAAGAAAAATATTGAAAACTTTTTATGTAATAGCAATTGTTATTAAAAATGGGACTTTTTTTAAAAAAATTTCTATCGATTGGGGGTGTCGCGCAGCATTCAGCAAGGGCTCGTTCTTTTCGTGAAGTGTTCTAGTTTCATGCAGACCCGTTTACCTGATCATTTTTTCAATTTAAATTGTTTAAATATCGCTCCAAACTAATTGCTATAAATGGCTTAATTAATAAATGGAATAGCTCCCGTTGTAAACGCGATCGTTATTGTTTGGCAATATTTTCTTAAAGCTTGAATTTTTTGACGAATTTACAAAAAAAAAAAAACTTGCTAAGTGCCCTGGGAGCAGAGATAGGATTTAAAAAAAAAATCTCACGCCTTTAATTATTAACTTTTTGTGGTGCCGTTTTCAGCAATGTTTAAAGGGAGAATTGAAGTTTCTTAAAAAAAATCGTGATGGTACTAGCATTAAAACAACATCCCTGAATCCAAACGCGAGATGAAATTGCGGCTATGGCCGGAGCTCGCGGCTCGGTGGTGGGGGGATCTTCAAATCCAAACCAAGTGAAATTTTTTCCATTTTCTCCGCAACTACTGCTTAGAATTTCATCTTTTTTTTTTTTAATTTGGGTAGTTCGTCGAATTATTAACTTTTACCTTCACGATTTAAAGCAAATACCATTATTTACTACTGCAATTTATACGCTTTCCATTATCGGTGGGTATTTTGCAACATTTTCAAACGTTCTCTTTAATTTTTAAAAGTAGCCACTATTACTGCATAATCGACTTATATTTGCCATGATTATTATTTTACAATAATTTAATTTTGATCCAAATTAATTATTTACTACTGCTAATAGATAAAAAAATAATGGTTGTACTTAAATGGGGGTAAATTTTTTATTTATTTTTTTTTAAATCCTATCTCTGCTCCCAGGGCACTTAGCAAGTTCATTTTTTATTGTAAATACGTCAAAATATTCAAGCTTTAAGAAAATATTGCCAAACAATAACGATCGCGTTTACAACGGGAGCTATTCCATTTATTAATTAAGCCATTTATAGCAATTAGTTTGGAGCGATATTTAAACAATTTAAATTGAAAAAATGATCAGGTAAACGGGTCTGCATGAAACTAGAACACTTCACGAAAAGAACGAGCCCTTGCTGAATGCTGCGCGACACCCCCAATCGATAGAAATTATTTTTAAAAAA